CAACCACTCTCTAGGCATCTTTTCCAGCGTTTCATCTCCCGGAGCTCCTCAGTAAACCAGGGAGCTACCCGAGATCGACACCAGGTCAGAGGCTACAAAGGCACAACGCGATCCAAGGCCCCAGTGGTCGAGATGTGAGCAAGTGATTCAGGAAAAGTCCCAAGCTCCATCAGGAACCTTTCAGGGTCCATCAGGCACCTGGGGCGGAACCATCTAGTCAGTTCCGCCTCCCTGCGGTGAAGGGTAGCAGTATGGGAAGTCAAGCCTGATGAGGAAATGATCAGACCATGACAAGGGTTGGATAGAAATATCCCCTAAATCTAGATCATTCATCCCAGAGACAAAAGTCAGGTCGAGCGTGTGTCCCCTGTTATGGGTGGGGTCTTGAATTATCTGAGTTAGGTCCATAGCCATCATGGAAGCCATGAACTCCCGAGCTGACTCGGATGTCTCGCCAATGGGAGGCAGATTGAAATCCCCCAGGATCATAAGCCTGGGGAAATCAACCACCAATCCGGCTAACACATCCAGCAGCTCCAGCAGGGCTGATGAAATGTAGCAGGGAGACAGGTACGTAACAAAAAGGCCCACCTGAACTCCAAGGCCCCATTTCACAAAAAGAGACTCCCACCCGCCTATCTGAGGCACAGTGACCTCTTGAGGTCTGAGACTTCCCCTAATAACCACCGCCACCCCCGCCCCTGCCCTGGGCTCTCGGCTGGTGAAACGCCTGGAAGCCTGGTGGGCATAATTCACTAAGGGGGACACCCCCCCTCAACCAGGTTTCCATAATGCACGCCAGTAATGCATGCCAGTGGTAAGATTAAATGTATAAAAGATTAAATTCAAGTTGTTTCCTGAGCTTTGTTTGTTTCTAAGTATAATAACGACACCAAAGAAAACAAAAGTTGAATAATTGACTGCCATCTCCCTGCTTTATCATCAGCACTAATTTATATTTACATGTCTCTTTGAAAAAAAATACAAAACGTACTTTGCATTTCCTCTGTATACTTTTATATAAATGATCTTGTTCATGCCTTAGTGTTATAGAAAGAGATTACATATAGAACATCGATAGCATCTTGAAATGAATAAAGTTTGTAGGGTGATAAATGAAACAAGCCTCATACAAAGGTATTTCTCTTCAGCTATTCAGAAAGTGCTATCATAATAATAGATGACAAGGTGACTTATGTAGCCCTTGGTCAGCCAGTAGAGGCCACTCACTGCGTGCTACATAATGCTGGACACTGATTTGGCAATATATTTTTCCTGCTTTATGTCTCTATATACCCACTCTAAACATAGTACAATTACCTCATCTGAGCCTGCCAATATCTTTCTAACTTTTTGTTGTTGTTGGTCTTCACATCAAGATTTTACTCTAACAAAATAAACAGAGTAGGATTGTTTAATCATAGCTTCCATATTCTTTCTGTATGGCAGCTTTCTAGGATTGTGTAAATACATTTATCCATTTGCATTTTATGCGTAAAATTATTCTGAATATTTTAAAAAATATTAGAGTTTATGACATTATGTCATAATGTTTTTTTTCTGCATTTTCACCTTTTAAAGAATGATTCATTTAAAATTTTCTGACTAATGACACTATATTTTGAAATCAGCAAATATTTTTGCCTGCATACAAGTAGTCTTCGACTTACAACCATTCATTTAGTGACCATTCAAAATTACAGTGGCACTGAAAAAAGTGACTTATGGCCATTTTTCATATTTACGACTGTTGCAGCAACCCCATGGTCACGTGATTAAAACTCAGATGCTTGATAATTGGCATCTATTTATGACGATTGCAGTGATCACTTTTGTGATCTTCTGGCAAGCAAAGTCAATGGGGAAGCCAGATTCACTTAACAACTATTATACTCAGTTAATATCTGCAGTGATTCACTTAACAACTGTGGCAAGAAAGGTCATAAAATGGGACAAAAATCACTTAACTATCTTGCTTAGTAATGGATATTTTGGGCTCAATTGTAATTGTAAGTCGAAGTCTGCTTGTATTTAAATTTGCCAGAATGCAGATTTTCAAATGGCAGTTTACGTCCAAATAATATCACATAGGTTTTCTCCACCTCCATAAATCCATCACAACCACTCAGTTTTTACAACTGTTGGAGCATCTAGAATATCTTCTTACATGTTCAACACAAGACTGCACTGAATCTTTATTCCCTTCCTATATGAAACAAAACTGTCCCATACAAGCAATATAAGCAAAGGAAAAGTTTCTCCCTCCCTACCCTAAAATATTTTTGATATGTGAAAAATAATCTGAACAGCATTCAGCTGCTGACTGCATAAAACATGCTTTTGTTTTGTGTACATTGTGTTGGTCTGTAAATTGTGTTTTGTTTGGAGTTCCTATTTTTCTTATCCCTTCCAATATATCTAAATGACTTTTCATGGAATTTCCACATTTATTAAATTATGGATTATGTAGTTTGGCAAGCTGGGGGCTTAAAAACATTTTTCTGTAAGTATGGCTAGAGGTAAACAACCATTTTTAGATCAGAAAATAGCTTCTCCTTCTGTCAACACATTGTTTATTTTCTCCATGAGATAAAAAGTTCAGTTTTCTGATATTTGTACCAAGATAAAGTCAGTAAACAAGATTAATATAGTGTGGAAAAGGTTGTCAGCAGCCCTGGCAAAGGAAATAAGTTGCCTGTACACAGAACATACTGTAAACTGAATAAAAGTGTCAGGTCCACCATGAGATAATGTGATCATGAACCTCTAACAAAGCATGACATAGGCACAGTCGGCTTTTCTTATAGCCACAGTGTAGAAAATGGATTACTATATTCCAGGGATACCCACTGGAATAGCATGAAAACCTCATTTTGAATTTAATGCAGGATGTAACTCAAGAGCTGCACCAGATGTTTACCTGCAATGTTAAAATAACTGTCAAACTGTTAATGTTATAAACAGTCAATCGTATCAGTTAGTATGATTTTGGTATCATTGATACTTCAAACCCATCCTGAAATATATTTGTATGTTCTTCCTTCTTGGCTTACTGAAATTTAACATTTTTAAGAAAAAATAAACATTGCTGTTATGTTATGTCTGGATGCCTCTGTCATACACCAGACACTAGATTACATAATCAATTTCAAAAATTGATCAATTGTACCCTTTGTAATTCTGGGGATGGAAAATATCACAGGAAGCTCTTGTTTATACCAGTTCAAAATCCAATTGTCTACTGCCCCTGGTGGATGGGCAGACATTACTGGAAACTGTCAATGAGGCAGTTACAACTCTATATCAGGCATGAAGAACTCCATCCCGTAGCTGTCCTGTTCAGGCTCTTGTCTCCAAGCACAACCTTCCTGTCTTCACATAGAGAAGGGGGCTGATTTTGATACCAAGTCTTTTGGATATAGTTTGGTATGGAAAGTTTTGCTAACTTTTGGTTATAATTTTGACATTTTCCAAGCATGTCTTTGACCTATACCACTGATCACATTTATTATCCTACCTTTTTATCCTGTATTTCAATCTCGAGTAAATCCCTGCTCTGTACCATTTTATGGATTGTTTATATCCTATCTAGAAGTGAAGTTATTAAAAATTAAAACAGCACAAGGACTTTATTGATTATATTTTTAGTGTCATTGGGGTGCATTGTAATTTCACATTGCTTACTTAGTTACCCCTATATCTCCTTACTTTTAAAATAATATAAGCTAAGCTATGAAAGGTTAATTGATGGTTATGAATTGAGTAGTGCATCTCTAAGAGCCACTATGTGCTCTCTTCATTCTGGAGTCTTGGGTAGCAGAAAAACCTTAATTATAAATAACCCTTGGAGTTTTCTATTCCCAATACTGCTATACAATGTGATATTTTCTGCTCTTCCTTTCAATGTGCATTGATAGTTCCGATAACCTCTTCAAAATAATATAGAAATAGAACAGATTGGAATAGCCTTGCTGGAATATACTATGGACTGGATCTGCTCAGGATATCTAATTATTCAAAGAAGCTTGGGATACAAAACTGGTATCTCCACAATCAGCATCTGTAATATCTTAGTATTTCAAAATAAATATAAATATATAAATATATTCCTGCTGTAAATACTTTTAAATTTCTATACACAACTTACAATACTTGTGATTCTTTTAGATTACAACAACAGGCTCATGCAGTAACAAAAAAGCTGTGCTTTTATCCCAGGAATTCCATCACCATGAGTAAGTGTCCATATTATTTTTTCATTATTTCTTTTAGCTTCCTTTGCATATCTCCTGGTTTTAATTATATATTAAATTTCATCCTAATTGTCCAGTCAAATCTTAGAATTCTGGCCATATGAAAGTGTTGTTCTTTCCAATATTTTTCTGGGGAAACATACATGTTAATTTTAAAACAGTTCAATTCCTTGAGCAATTTTTGTATTTTGCCATTCTAAAATCAGAATGTTATCTGAAGGTAAAGGAAGCACAGTATACTATCTAGCTTGGATCTGTCCAGAACTATTTTCTTATTTCTTTGCTTTTGCATTGGGATTAAAGGAGAGTAATTGAGATGAATGCACAAGCTGCTTTGAAACATTTCACAAAGCATTTTATGATACATTTAAAACTAGCAAATTGATCCTGGAATACATTTTCCAAGTATTAGAATCCCCTTAAAGGCAATATTGGAATGAGATTAAATGAAAAATTACCAAGTATAACAACTAAATAGAACAATATGTGTATGTTGATTTGAGAGTGATGATAATACTGTGTCTTGGTATCATTTAAGTCAGTGAAAATTGTAGCAATTTTTAAAAGCAACTAGTGATACCAAAATGTGCTTAATGCTTCTTAAATTTCTCCCCTCTTGCTAAAGCTCTGATTATCTCAAGTAACAAAGGTGATTGAATTGGGAAGGGAAAATTTTCATTTTAAACTGGTGTAGTTTTCAAAGTATTCTATAATACAAAAAATAGCCATGATACCACAATGGAGTGTATTGTAGAAACATTGAAGATGTAGTTCTATGTACATGAATTGTACTGAATATCATTGAAATCTATGGCTTTAATTCTGATTAAACTTTCTCTAAATGAGGTGTATATGTGTGCAAATGTATTAAATTTAAAATGCTAATAATATATGTAAATATTTCTTATTAGTTATCAACATTTCTGCAAAGTTTTTCCAGTTACACTGGTTAAATTTGACATTTCTGTAGCCCAAACATAGAGGAAAGTTTATCAGATGTATTATGTAAAGAATTGCAGAATGGCATGCTGCTGTTTAATGTATATTCACTTGCTTAAACAGTAGTAACCTGAGGAATGAGATACATTGCTATGAAAACTGTTACAGACCTTGAGCGTTCTGTAAAATATCCTATTTAAATAAATCATAGCCAAAGGCTACTTTTTTTCTGGTGGACAATAAAATACCCAAGAGCACGCACAAGCTGGTCATGTGACAGCTCATGCTTCAGTTAGCTGCTGTGTTACTAACCCCTTTTTCCCCCTTCCTTTAGCCATTGGTTTAGCCCTGCGGCTAGAAAGGAACATAGCCAGGTAAGAACCACTTTGACCAAGAACATTTTATTTTATATATTTGGAGGAATTTAACTATCACTTGTCTGGAGGAATAGGGACACCGGTTTGTAAAAGAAGGAGCAAAACCTCCTGATTTTGTATTGAAAATGACTGACTGAAGATATTTCGTAGCAAATAGCTCATTATGAAAGCCTCCTGGGTATGACAGGGTAGAGCTGGCAATTATCAGCAGTTCCTTTTGCTCAAAGAATGTTTCAATCAAGTGTGCAAGTGGATATGTGCTCCCTTGAGAAATAATTCAAAAAGCAATGTAGGGGAAACAGGGCCATGTGTATTATCTCCAGATCTATCAGCTCCACCTCAACTTTTACACACTGAGAATTCTCCCTGTGCTCACAAAATCTGAATGGTCATACTAAAAAAGAAGCCTGTAGAAAATTGCATTTAATTTCAGGCTGCTTCAGTATACATGGCAACACCTATATTATTACCAAGTCACTATGAAGAGTCTTCAAGTCTCTAAAACTGATAATGAATGAAATACTTATCATGGAATAGATAGGTAAAGGAGTGGTGGGGATGTTTCAGGAAAGATAAGGGAATCTTTCCTGATCATAGCGTTCCACAGCTGCAACAGAGTAGAATGTATAAAATAATTTTCACAATTACATTAAAAAGATTTTGTTTCTTCAGCCATAGATTTAAAATTATTATAAACTGCCTTTCAAAACAATCAGAAAACTGAAACAAGAGTGGTAAATAATTTTGCAAATATATTTTAAGACTAATTACTATCTGTAGCAGCAGCTCCCTATCACATATGAATCGTTCTATGCATTGCTGCTGTCATTAACCATAACCATATCTCACTTCTTCCATTGATATGGACTGAAAAGAGCTCCATAAAAAATATCTCTCTATAATAAGTGAGGGGGCAATGAAATGTAACTTTCAATACAGTATATGTAAATATAAAGTGATACATTTTAAAGCTAAGAATCCAGGCTTTCATATATACAGACTCATATAGTCTGAACTGACAATTATTGACCTGGAAACTTTGAGTCATGGTGAATAAATAACTATATGAAAATATTGATCAAGATGCAGCAGCTGTGAAAAATGTGATAGGAATAATTAGTAGGTCTCTCTGAACCATTCAGAGGGATGTATTACAAAACGATCAAAGTCTCTTTCCAAATCCACTGCTCACATTATTTCATTCTCTGGAATTCATGTTACATCTTTTTGAACGTGTCTTTTATTCTTCTTTGACAACCGCCGCCATTTCTTCTTAGTGCTTTTACAATCTGAAATTCTGTTAATTATTTTCATGAAAACAGTTTTATCTTTCACTGCAAACATTTTGCCTTATTTGAAAGATGAAATTAAGAGCAATTCTATATAGTCTGGTTGTTACAACATGGTAATTTAACAAATCCTGCTTAATTTAGCTATTCCTACTGTTAGAAACAGATTAGGAAAGCTAAGAGTGCCAGAATCAAGTCATTTTAATTTAGCCAATTCTATTGAAGGTGTCAAGAAAAAGAATGCAGGAATTGATAGCTCATGGTAAAGCCATAATTAATTCTAAGGGAAAAATGTGGGGTAAAGAATGAGCACCATAGTAAAGCCATTCCTGCAGTAGTGTCTCTTTTGCTCTCCCTTCGCTCTTTTGCTCTCAGGAAGTAGAAACTTCTTTTGAGAAACAAAAGGGTTAGGGAAAATATTAGTAAACTTCAAATATCATTGTTTTAATTTCAGCCAGGCCACAAAAGCTTTCTTTATGGTCTTCAAGGAAATATTAATCAACTTAAAGTTTGCTGTACTATCTGGTCACAACAGCAGAGTAGGTAGGAGTTGCTGTGGGAATGGATAACTTAGTATTATGTCACTACAGTCATAGGTGCATGGAAATAAAATAAAAATTGATTTTAAGGTTTCAGTATATTTCCTGCTATAAGATTATTAGTCTCATTAAAGAAAACACAAAAGCATAATAAAGGTAAAACATATATACTTCTAAACATTGAAACTTTGTTTTTCATATAAATTCTGAATGCCTTATGTAGCTTCAACTATTACGAGATAACCGATCAGAAAGAGGACACAAGAAGAACAATTCAGTGAAAACAGCCAGCAGGTAAGTTTACAATACAATGTAGTTTATAATTTACATTCTAATTAAACCACAAGCTAATATTTTACCTAGTTGGATGACTGGTAATCATACAGTGAAATGCAATGACTATCTTTGCCTCTGACTGCTTAAGATGGAGGCCCAGGTAACACCAAATATAATCTTTGTGATACATGACTCAGAGAAGGAAGCTAATAAACATACAATAAAATAAATATTTGTTTCCTTTCTTTTTTGCATGTTTTCTATGTCTGTGCAATCTACATAGCATATTTAGGGACAATAAAGCTTACGCTCCTTTTATTGCAGTATGTCAAATATGACAGCAATACAGCCATTTAAAAACACAATTGTCTTGAAAATAAATCTTGTTCTACCATGAATTAAATAGCAATTCCTCTGTTTATCACATATTTTTCACAAGCATTACAAGTGCAACCTACTACCATTGTTTTGTTCACATTATTAGAAATGAGAGTTACAGTATGAATCAAAGGATTGATAGAAATATTAAGACTTGGATTTCATGGCCAGTGAATCCATTATAAAATAGCACAGTTGATTTTTTTCCCCCAAAAAAATTGATCTCTGGAGGATCTGAAAATTGCTCAGATTGGCAGGTTGAGTGATACTAAAGGAAAATGTAGAATTAAAATCAATAATCTATTTGGTGGGGAGGTGTTTATTTATTTAAACATAACTCATATTTACTCATGTTCTTTATCACATGCAGTTTTGTTGAGCTTCAGGCTATGATTTTCATATACGAAGTCAGTTATATTTGTATATTTATACTATCTTCTATCTTGATACTCTAAAATCACAAGGTTGCTGAAAAATAAGAATTGGGTCTAAAGAGAAAAACTTTGTGATAAGGCTTTTTTTCCATCAGGTTTGTGGAAATCTCTTCTAAAATGAAAGATTGCTCATTTTCCCTTGATAATTCAGATGAATATGGTTTTGTAACAGAAAAGTAACAAATTCAGTATGATTAAAGTGATTCTTATTTGATCTTTAGAAGCAAGATCTCATCTTTTTTCCACAACATCATCTGTTCATTGGAAAAGAGTTTTAATTTACCTTGGATAAGAAAAACATTTTTGCCAAAAATAAGTGAAACCATCAATTACAGCATTTTTCAACAGCTGTGAATAAATGTGGTTAGTAAAATAATACATTGCATTTTGCATTTCATAAACAGAAATATCATAGTTTAATATGGATTTTGTAGCAGATAATAACAGTATCAAAGAGAGAAATACTGTTTATGCAATTGGAATATAAAATAGAGGCTATCACTTGATTTTCCTTTTTTTTAAAGCAATGTGCTATTTTTATATTACCCTGTCCATTTGAATGTCAATCCAATAGAAGAATAATTTCAAACTCTGGACTGAAAAATCCAATGAAAGCAGAGTGAAATTAGGCAAGTAGTGGAGAGCCAATTGGGGAATTAACATACAGTATTTTGAAAGAAGCAGGCAAAGACCCCAAGCAAGTTCTAAAAATGGAGAGAGCCAGTCAGACTATTAATGGAAAGGAAAAAAGAGAAGTTGGGGTATCATCACTCTGAAACTTCGAAAGAAAATCTTGCCCCTTTACAAGCAACTTTGCAGTTAAAATTAAAAGGGGGTGACCTCTAGACTGGACTACTGCAACGTGCTCTACATGGGGCAGCCCTTGAAGAGTATTCGGAGACTTCAGCTTGTCCAGAATGCAGCCGTGCAAGCGATTGTGCGTGTACCTCGGTTCACCCACGTAACACCTATCCTCCGCGAGCTGCACTGGCTGCCTATTGGTCTTCGGATACGCTTCAAGGCGCTAGTCGTCACTTATAAAGCCCTTCATGGTATTGGACCTGGGTACTTGAGAGACCGCCTGCTGCCAATTACCTCCAATAGACTGATCAAATGCCACAGATTAGGCCTCCTCCGAATTCCATCCGCCAGCCAATGCCGACTGGCGACTACCCGGAGGAGGGCCTTCTCTGTGGCTGCTCCGACCCTCTGGAACGAGCTCCCCGTGGGGATTCAAACCCTCACCACCCTCCAGGCCTTCCGCAAAGCCCTTAAAACCTGGCTGTTCCGACAGGCCTGGGGCTAAAGAGTTTTTGCCCCCCTTCTCGAATGGAATGGTTGTTGTGTGTTTTTAAATTTTGTATTGTTATGCTTCGTCTTTTTTATCCCCCTGTTTGTACCCCCCTCCCTGATTGAATTGTGAGCCGCCCTGAGTCCCCTTCGGGGAAAAGGGCAGCATATAAATGTAATCAATCAATCAATCAATCAATCAATCAATCAGAACTTTCTGACAGCAGTTGATAATAATAGCCTGAGCTTGAAATTCAACTCAGTTTTGACAATTTTAGCTCCACAACTAATAAATCATTCACCTTGTCTCACTTTTAAAATCCTGGCTGAGATTTGCAGCAAACAGTTTAGTCCCCTTAATGCAGAGAAAGAAACCTATCCAAATTGATTTGAATGCCAATTTGCTTTGTCAAATTGTACCCAAATACTAGATCAGATAATTAAATCATTTTCAAGCACCCAATGTTGTTTTCTTAAGTACCAGTCTCTCTCTCTCAGGCCTGCAGGATATTTAAATTCTAACACAATTTCCAAGCTCAGTAGGGCTTTAACATTAGCTTAGTTTGATGTTCTGCCACCCATTGTTGTACAAAATAACTTCCACTAGACAATTGTATTCTTGTGGCCAAACACTTTAGATTCACTGATCATGTTTTATTTCATGGCAGTAACTTCCAAGATAGATAAAATGAGGGAAGTTGTGATTTGGCTAACAAAGGCTTGATCAGGACTATTTATAGGTTTGATGACATAAATTATCTAAATTGAGGAGAGAGGAGTGATATAGTAGGGTCCATTTTAGATTTCTCAAGGAAATTGTACTTTGCAAGTACAGTGGGACCTCGGGTCACAAATGACTCAGACCACAACCAAATTAGTTTCCAACCCCAAAATTCGCATTTTTTAAATATTCTGGTCACAAACACATACTCAGGTGGCTATCAAATGTGGCTGCAGCTGATATCCCCTTTCGTGCCATAGAGAAAGTCCTGATCTGCTGAACAAACTTCCACATGTTAAAGTTACCCTTTAATTTCGTTCTCACTGGCTTCTAACTTTTTTTGTAAGTAACTTTCTCCCCAGCCAGGCAGCATTTCTCCTACCTCCCCAGGAGACCCACATGATGCTGCAGAAGCCTCGATTACAGCTTTTTTGTTACTGTTGTTTTGCGCACATGGCGAGGGTTGGGAACAGAACCAAGCAAGCTCTACAGTTGGGAATTCCGGCAGCTTGGAAGCCAGGCTCTCCCCCTGCCTCCCCTCCTCTAAGTCCTCTGGGAGCTGTAGAGAGCGATAGCTCTCTGTCTCAGCAGGCCACGTCAGAAAGACCCTGGCACTCGGCTTTGGAGCATGGAAGGAGGGCATGTGTTGGGCCGCTTCTTCTTGCTGAGGCTTCCTTGCAGAGAGAAAGGCAGGAGGAGCGCTGCAGAAGTCAGCCAGCCCAGCCCAAACACTCCTGCCCTCCCACCCAGGTTGTGGGAGAGTTCTATGGCATAGTTAACTATTTTTGTGCTTAAAAATCTTTTTTTTAAAAAAAAAAATTATATATAGTCCATAGTGGTCTGGAACAGATTGATTGTATTTACATACAATCCAATGGGAAAATTAGATTTGGGTCACGACCAAATCGGGTTGCAACCAAGGTTGTGGAATGAATTGTGGTCATGACCTGAGGTCCCACTTTAGGAACAAATTTGCTTTAAGCTCTTTTATACATTGTTCTTTAACATGGAATAATCTTTTATTTTAATTAGAATTTAAAAATGAGTTCCTATGTAACAGTAGCAGGAAATTTCCACAAAAAATATTTACCTTTGATTCTGTTTTAAGTGCTGTTTCTCAATATTTTCATAGGTGGTTTTTTTAGCCTTGGTATTCGAAATTTTGTGCTCTGATCGTATTAGTTGATTAACGTCAGATGTTTGTTACCTATGACTTGTTTGTAAGATAAAATATTGGTTTAGATTTGCCTTGGTCATAGTCATAGACTTCTGATCAATTCCAGCTCATGCCCAATTATATTACATTCCATTAACATAATTCAGCAGATGTTGATATTTAAGTGCTTTCAGGCATTCACATCTTGGACAGCTGTCTTAGAGCTTGGGGAAAAGGCAAACATTTAGAGTTAAATGCTGAACATATGCTTAAATTACTAATTAGAAGCAAGAGAAAACCCCACCACATTATCCTTTCTGAGGACAGCAAGACTCTATTACAGATATTTAAAAATCTTTTTTGGTTGGCATAAAGTTCATGAGTCTCTAGAGGCAAAGTGATGGAGCGCATTAAGAATAACTCTACAATTGGACTTCATTTTCTGGCAGGTTTTCTTTCTCAGAAAAATTACAACCTGCTTACTGCAGGTGACTCTACAAGAGGCTCCGAGTTTGAATAAGAATGCTTAGCAGATGTTAGTGTACCACACTGGACATAAGTCTATTTGCAAAAGAAAAGGTCCCCCCCCCGCCCCCACTCCTGGTCACATTTGTTACTGTTCCTTGTAACAAATGTACTGGCATTAATGGCCTAATCTTAATAAGCTGGAATAAAATAAAATAAAAAGTGCCACGATTGAATTCTTCCATCACATGGAACATTTAAGTATATAAAAAGGGATAGTCATAGCTCTTTTTGGTTAATACAATAATACTTTGAACAGTGTGAAAACAGATGTTTCAGTGTGGATTATGCTGATGATGTCATTGTTCTAACTAAGCCTGAAGAGAAACTTCACAACTAAGCAAGCCAATAGCTAAATCCAGTGTAGAATTCTGATTACACTTGCTATGTTCCACATAACCATAACATCCACAGCTATTTTCAAGTGAATTTGTTTTTATTAAGAGGCAGATATTTATAGGCTTTTATAGAGGCTAGAAGGGAAAATCAAAACAGAGTTAGAAATTTTTTGGTA